ACCTAAAAATAGACAGTTAGGGTCGTTGAAGTTTGATGTGGAGTGAATCTCACAACTAATTGTTTAAAAATTCTCTATTTTCATCACCAATGAGTGGTTGAAATTTTACTAAATGAGCTATAGTTAAATCTCAACCTTTCATTTCTTTAAATAATGCGCAGGTGACCCTTACCCTATACTTGTGGGTGATGGAGTAGAGTAGCGAAGCTTACAATATGTCTCGTTGTGAATAAAAACACCAGGAAGCTGAAGCCCATTGCAATAGTTTGCCATGACCACTGCAAACCATTAAAACTTTAATGTTAGTGACGCTAAATTTATAATAAACACAGTCAAAATTCAGAATTTGTCCGGAAATGTTTTTGTCTAAGGTGCTTTACTCAATAATACTTACGGAATATAATTTTTTTATTAAAAGTTAAGTACCTTTTAATATTCACAAGCAAGTGATTTGTAGAGACACGTTTTTGGGTGTATATTCTTTTTTCGACAATTTTGTTTAACTTTAGTCAAGAGAAAACAATTTCTCTCGAGTATGTACAAAGTCTACAGACACTAACGCCAACACTTATTTAATCGTTGGATTTAATCTAACTACTTAGTTTAAATAATTTAGTTAGATTAAATTTAACGGTTGTTTCAACAGTTAAATATGTCCTGAAGTTGAAAAATAAGAAATATATAAGAGAACATTAATAAAATGTTGATTTTCTAGGATGTACAAATTGACCTGAAATTCTCCTCCAACTAATGCAATGGAAACATAATGCAAACAAGTGACAGATTCTTCAATTAAATAATTGAAAAAGGTAGACACCTGCTTGGTTAAAATAAAAGTATCATCTAGATATCTACCAATTTTATAAGATAATCTAATATACATGTATATATTTGAACCTTTGATGGCAATCAGAAAGTATATATCCCTTTGTTATAAAAAAAAAATAGCACCCCCCTTTGATTGATTTTTATTCCATGATGTTGCTTGCCATTAAGTCTCGAAATGTTAATTACACTAGAACAGTGAAAATGGTAATTTAGTCACATGAATTTTTTCTCTTCCTAGATATTTATCGTCTTCATTTAAATTATATAAAATGATAATCATAAATACAGAAGGACACGTAAATCACAAAAAATATGTGATTATTATTTTTCTAAAATAAATAAATACTTCATTTTCTAAGAAAAAGTTGAGTTGTTTGCTATTGTAAGAAAAATTGACCTCTCCTTTGTGGGTGATAACGGAGGACATGACAGAAACAAATTGCATTTTGGTAGTGAAGTGAACAATTCCAAGCAACCCTTTGAGCTGTTGTAGTATCACAATCACTGAAGCACCCGCCATAAACTCAACCAAAGTCGCCTTTGACAGAAAATCAATTATAAAACCGAACCTGTAAAATCACCCTTTTGAATTCATTATTTAAATTATTATAAACTACATAACAAAAAAATATTAGAATGTGCCCAGTCCAACATGTCCGGCTCTAATGACAGTATCCATTGTTCCACATACTGCGTATTAGAGTTGGACGTATTATATTGAGCTCCAACATATATAAAGATGATTTGACTTTATGTGAACGATAATAAGATATTGAAAGGGCTAAAAGTTTAGTAGATTTTTTTTAATTGTAAAAAAGTAATTATTAATATTATTACAAAAGAAAAAGTGAATAGCAAGTAATATAGCATAATGTAGCTTAAAGTGGTAACATCGATTGTAATTAAAAAAATAAAGAAAAAGATGAAGACCGAGTAGTAAACGTTGTCAATATCTAACATTAGTGAACTTATTACCTCAGAATACCCAGAGAAGACTGAAAGACCAGCAAAACATGTAGCAGTGAAAACCAATTTGAGATAAAGAATGGGGTCTTCAGTACTAGAAACAACCTCACTTAACATTGATCCCATAACCAAAGATGCTATCGAAACTGGACCAACTGCAATATGCCCGGAACTCCCCAGCACATAATATATCAGTGGGGGCACAAAGCTTGAGTCTGCATGGAAATTCCAAATAAAAATAAATAAATTAGGCTAGTTAATTGTTAATTATAGCCACTAGTACTACGGTCTAGTGGTATTCCTCTTCACTGATTAGTGAGAGGTCTTAGGTTCAACTCTCGCCAAAGGCGACACACTTTCCCCTTAGTGTAGATAATATCGATTTGTTCAAAACAAAAAAATTGTTAATTATTTAATTAATTATGTTTTAATTTATGTAAAATAGGAGTTAAGTGTGAAATTGGTATTAACATAGCCCAACAATTGGAGGCAAACTTGCAAGCTTCGCATAACTGATGCCCTGCAAAACAGGTATTGTGGATTAGATCACCAGAAAATATTAGTTGTCTTTTTTTATTTTGTAGTTATCTACCAATAAAAAAAAACATATACAGTCAAATAACATTTGAAAAAAAAAAATTAAATACAATTCACATGAAGGTTAAAAACAAAAACATATGCAGTTTAGTATAATATTAAGTAGGAAATCATTTAAAATCAACTCAATTGGGATAAGCCAATGAGGATTAGAACTAATCAAACCACCTTTTAATTAATGTCCAAAAAGACAATTGGAATAAATGCAGAGCACAACAACCTGGTCTTTTTTGTCCAAGTAAATCACAAATATTAATTAAGTCAGTTAGTCATAACGGTGTGCCGGGTTTTATGGACCCAAATTCATATATCTTCTCCACAAATGAGTAAGGAGAGAAGCATATATGGGTTAGATCAATGATTGAGGCATGCCGGCCCTTTGCACTGAAGTTACCATACGAGAGAGAGAGGTTAAAATGGAGGAGGATTCTCTCTCCTCCTAATCTCTCTTCTCTTATCTCCCATCCTATTTGAACAGTTACGGTTTAGCCACGTTAACATCTTATATTAATTTTTTTTATAGAGACAATAAGACAAAACAAAATGTGAGAGGAGGGGAGGGAAGGAGATGAGAATAGGAAGGGAGAGAATCCTCCTCCGGTTAAAATACCTGAGGAATTGCAAGGCTGGCAATAGTGAAGCCAAAGATGAAATCAGACTTGAGAAGCTTAACATGGTACTCAGGGCCCCATTGGAAGATTGGGAAGAAGAATTGGAGACCCAGAAGCAGTTTTGTGAACCAAGTTTGGTTATTGAATATGTGAAGTGGGTTATCTGGGAAAAAGATGTCAGCCAACCTCTGCCGGAGTTTCTGCAGGGTAGTCTGTTTCGGTGGCAAACAAACCCTGTGGATTTCTAGAGGTGGCATTGCTGCCTCTGCTAGAATTCTGACGGTGGTTTCATGGCAGGGATGATCTTCCACTCTGTCGGAGTACTCACCTAACCAATCGTACACATAATGGTAGGGAAGTACCTCAACACGATCTTCAGTGCTCGTTGAGTTCGAAACAATACCCAAGCCATTGTAAATATTGGCTAAAACGGGAATAGCAAGGCTGAAAGATTCACTTGCAGCCATCTTGCTAGCCATTTTGAAGACTCTGGGACAGATAAAGTTGACGTCGTTTTTGGGGAAAACAAACTTACAAAGCCAATAAGCTAAGAAATGGGCTAGGTAAGATTCTCCCGCATGTTCTGATGCTATGCCAAGTTCATCAAACGCTTTCAACTCGGCAGGGGCACGATGCCTAGCTGAACCAATGACACCTTACGGGTTTGAGTCTCCTTTTGGCTTAGTGGTCTTGTTGCGGCCACTTTTCTTCGAAGGCTTCTTGTACTTCATGGCATCCTAATACCAAAATCGGATCCATGAAATCTTCACACCTAACTTACCTTGAGCCTCATGGGAAGGCTTGTGATACGCCCAAAACAAATAGTGGCAACTTCCAGGCAATCCTCAACTATTGTGATGAGAAAATTGCTCCACGCTAAGAATAACCTCATCTTAAAACTTACCTTGGATCGGCAAGCCTTCTATCTTGTGGAGATCCTAAAGTGAAATTGACATCTCCCCTTGAGCTGTGTGAAGTGTGTTGGTCGTTGAACACCAATGCTGAAAGAATGCATGAAGGACGGAAGGATAGTGATCATAACTAAACAAAGATGCGTACACAACATGATAAAGGTCTACATTGGTAAGTACATCTTTGGATCGACTCAAGACATCTTCAAGCCACTCCTAATAAAATTCAACAAAGACGGCTTGTCCAGTAGTCGGCAAAGTACTATTCCAAGTTGCAGCTTCGCTACGGACATGATCGGCAAGAAGCTCAAACAAAGCTAGTGAATTGTCACGAGCATGGTGCAAATGATTCAAGATAAGAATACTCGATGCACACACCTTATTCTTCGTATTTGGTTGACCAAAATCTATAACCTTTGAAGATACATCAGAAGATCACGACTTCATATGCATCAAGTTGTCTTTTGCAGGAAAAACAAGTGCCTTAGTAACGGCGCACAAAGCTTCAACGTCGTTCCCCTATCTTGAAAATCATCTTCCTTCTTAAGAATGATGATGGTATTGCTCTTAAAGCATTTAAAAAACACCATGATTGCAACAAAATAAACAAAGGAACATAAGCATAAGAGTGAGGCGGCAAAGAAACAAAATTGCTTCACTAAAGCAAAAGACATGCGAGACAAATCACGTGAGCGTTGGAGGATGACTATAAGACTTGTAACCTGTATGTGAGGATGTGCTGCATCGCATGTCTTATTTTCCTATTTCGGATTTGTAGCCATTCCAATCCGCGTTATAATTTTCTCGCCAAACGTGGATGGGCTACAAATCCAATTTAATTGAAAATAACTCATCTTGTTCGGTTTACCAAATAATATCTTAAGATGATGGGCAAAAATGCACTCCATCACATTGTTCACACTTTACACCAAATGAGCTACCACTCGGCAATCTCCACCGTTCATAAATCCACGTACCGCCATCATCAACAACCTTTGCGGCCCTACACCGCGAACCGGTTTGCCCCACCAGTGGCACTATCGTAAAATTACTCACTTAACCGCAAAGCTTTTGCTCGCTCTCGTATTTTACAGACATAGAGCCCTTTTCTCTCCGTGTGCTAAAACACCGAATTCTCTCTCCCTCCCTCGCTCTCTTCCTCCTTCCCCTCCGTCTCTGAGCTCGGATCACCTGGATCGCTAGGTTTGTCCAACTCTGATCTCGGCCGGAGCTCTGCGAAAATGGTGAGTCTTTTGATCTCGTCCGGCTTCCCTGCAATCTGCCCACATTAGACTGCATCTTAGATCTGATTCAAATCCGTTTCGATTTGGTGCCAATTCCTCATTGTTTGACCAAGCGTATCAATTTCACTGAGACTCTTGCAATTTCGTAGACTCTGTTTGGTTGCATGGAATTTGACGTTTTCACAATTCTCTATATTTCGTTTGACTTCGTTTATCGGCAACCAAACGTGGCATTTTTTTAACTTGAATTTCATCGAGATCTGGTGTTCAATGTGGTTAAATATCAATTCTGCGTTGTTATTGTATAATTCGGCATATATCGGAGTTTGTAATATTATTTGAGATTTGGTGTTTTAATTTTGCACTGATTGGTTTTCTTTGTTTTTGCGATGTGTTAACAGCCTCTCAGACTGGAAATCAAGGTAATTTTTATTTGAATTCCTTTTATTTCGTTTCGATATGTGGATCAGATCATGATCCTAATAGTTGTATTCTGAATTGTGCGGAAAATGGTCTAATTTTATTCTTTTGGTTCAGAGAAAACTCGCTCAAAGATCAGAGAGAGTAAAATCTGTGGATCTGCATCCAACAGAACCATGGTAACTACATTGTCTTCTGTATTAGTATTCTGTTAAAATTGATATAAAAAATGAAATTTGTAACAGATTAGCAAGTAACAAGAGCAATGCCATGCACCCGAGCTCTTCTTCCTGATATCTCATATTTATTTTTTCTTTTGTACATCTTACAATATGCTATTGACGACTCGTTAGTGAGAGTAGCGGTGCCAACACAGTATTCCTTTAGCATAGTATTTTTCATACTAAGTGTAAGGATGTGGCCTGCATTTTGCATGAGGCAGCAACCGTTGACTGGGTTGCCATGACATTGCTAGGTTCTTATATTTTTGTTTTCAAATTCCAAGTTGTCTTTGTAGTTAATTTTATAAAAGGACTTAACTATAATTTGAATCCCCATTAGAAATGGAGTTGGGATGAACACATTGGTTCTCTTACCAGTTGCCACTTAGTTACGATAGGATCCAAGTTAATTTGGTGAAAACTGTAGTTTTGTGATAAACCACTAATGATGATAATTTTACTGCAGGATTTTGGCAAGTTTATATTCAGGAACTGTGTGTATTTGGAACTACCAGACGCAGGTATGATCTAGATCTATTACCACAAGTTACCATTTCTGAAAGTACATGTAAAGCTTGATCTTAAGAGGAATATGCAACTATCTTAAGAGTGATTGTTGTACTATAACAACTAAACTTGTTGGTCGGTGTTTCATCACTTGTTAAACAAATGTTTTGGGTTGAACTGAAAGAGCTAGAAATGAAGTAATTGAACTTGTACAACTGTGAGATCATACATGCACATCCTTAATTGTGTACATGAACCAAATGGCAAATTAAAGGAAGGAAGCAATTAGTGATTTACTGATCTTGGACTGTCCCATGACATGATTTGTCTACATTTTAGAATTCAATTTGGTTATTTTGTCAGATGTAGCCTTAGACACTGAGCAGATATAGCTACTGGCAGAAACTTTATAATTACACTGATCATTTCACAAATCCTCTTCCTAGAGCTGTACATAAATGTATTTTGATCTACTTAGAAAAAGTTCGTTTGTTGTGATTGGTACGGTATCTTTTGTGGTATTGTGCTATTCTGCTATGAAAAAAAAAAACATATGTTTAGCATTCCTTCCTTGGAGAGTTGTCTTAAACTTAAAGTAAGCTTTTGAAATTTAGGTTTCTTTATTTGGTTGCAGTAAGGATTGCTAACTTGAATTTTCTTGATACTGTTTCAGACCTTGGCTAAGTCTTTTGAGGTCACAGAGTTACCAGGTATTTACTTTGCCTCTTTGCAAATTTTTATGCTTGATAGATATTCTTTTTGGAATTTTCCTCAGTAAGATCATCATCATGCTTTAATGTCTAAGTCACTGGTCTGCAGTTAGGTCAGCCAAATTTATTGCTCGCAAGCAATGGGTTGTTGCCGGAGCTGATGACATGTTCATTCGTGTATACAATTACAATACAATGGATAAGGTTAAAGTATTTGAGGCACATACTGACTACATTAGATGTGTGGCTGTTCATCCTACACTCCCGTATGTGCTGTCATCATCCGATGATATGCTTATCAAGCTCTGGGATTGGGACAAGGGTTGGGTTTGTACTCAGATATTTGAAGGACACTCCCATTATGTGATGCAAGTGACATTTAATCCGAAAGATACCAACACATTTGCAAGTGCATCTCTTGATCGCACCATAAAGGTACGCTGGCATGGTCTGGATTTCCTGCATATTCTACTACGTTTTTTGTGTAATGGTGCTAATTGTGCTAATGGTTTTTCCTAGATATGGAATCTAGGCTCCCCAGACCCAAATTTTACATTGGATGCCCATCAGAAAGGAGTTAATTGTGTCGATTACTTTACGGGTGGTGATAGGCCTTATCTAATTACTGGATCTGATGATCACACTGCTAAGGTCTCCCACAAGTTAACCTTTTTCTTCAGTAATTCTTTGATTGTATATCGTTGTTATGATTTGGAAAAATTCATGTATAATAATATGGAAACAGGTGTGGGACTATCAAACCAAAAGTTGTGTCCAGACACTTGATGGCCATACACACAATGTTTCTGCTGTATGTTTCCATCCTGAGCTTCCTATAATAATAACAGGGTCTGAGGATGGAACAGTTCGAATATGGCATTCAACCACTTACAGGTAATTCTGGTGCCTTGCAACATTTTGGAACCTCACATCCTAGGATGCTATACTTTGGGTGAATTTTCAAATTTATAGCCTTTTTTTTTTGTTCTTTTAAAAAGTTGAAACAACTTTTTGAATGTTTTATTTTCAAACTAATTCCTCTATTTTCAAATCATTGAATGGCGAGGCCAATGATAATTTTGTGCTTCATCTACAGGCTTGAGAATACATTGAATTATGGGCTTGAAAGAGTTTGGGCTATTGGATACATGAAGAGCTCAAGGCGGTGAGTTTGGAAATCATAGATAGTTACCCTTTTATTGGACTAACATCAATAGGGGCCCCTTATTCTTTGTTAAATTTTTATTATTTGCTTGAAGTTTGTGAGAAAATGGACCCATTTAGGTTGTGCAGTATGTTTTTCAAATTTCAATGCTGCACGTGTAATGTCGTACAAGAAAACTGTACTCAAAATGATTCTGTTCTACTCATAAACTTGGTCAGGGTTGTACTTGGTTATGACGAAGGAACAATTATGGTAAAACTGGGCCGTGAAGTACCTGTGGCAAGTATGGACAATAGTGGAAAGATCATTTGGGCTAAGCATAATGAAATTCAAACTGTGAACATTAAGAGTGTGGGAGCTGATTTCGAGGTTTGAGCACATTCAGATTAACTCTTTTTCTTTGCTTCCTGTTCCCCCTTCCTCTTTGGTAGTCAACATCAGTCATTTATGTTTGCTATACTCTATAGGTTACTGATGGAGAGAGATTGCCTTTGGCTGTTAAGGAGTTGGGCACATGTGATCTTTACCCTCAGGTAAGGCTTTCTTTGATTCTTATTTTTCAATCATGTTCCTTTCTTGAGATCTACATCTTTCAGTTTCAATAATTTCTGCTACAGCCTATCATTTTTACTTACTTGGTAAGGGAAGATGTGCTTGAATTGAAGTGAGATTTACATGTTGTCATCTTGATGGGATGTGTTTCCAGACAATCCTGTTTTGAATGGATGGTGATAGACTTCAAAATCTTCTATTGTAGTATCCTCATACTGGCATCTTGTTTTCCTTCTTTAAGTTGCTGGATGCAAGCTTTCCTGTGTGTTGGATGTTGTTTGCTGTTTTGCAGTTCTGTGAGTGTGCAATAAATGCATTGCCTGATTTATCTTTGCTCAATTTTTTGTTTTACAGAGCTTAAGGCATAATCCCAATGGGAGGTTTGTTGTTGTTTGTGGAGATGGAGAGTACATTATATATACTGCTTTGGCCTGGAGAAATCGTTCATTTGGTTCTGCTTTGGAATTTGCTTGGTCAACTGATGGAGAATACGCTGTTAGAGAGAGTACTTCAAAGATTAAGATTTTCACTAAAAACTTCCAGGTTTGTAATTTTCTAGTTTATCAACCGTGCAGTATGGTTTTCATGTTAAAAGTTCAACACAAGATTTTTTTCTTTATTATTTTTTTCTGCTGGAATTTGGCTTCCTTTTTGTTTTTCTTGCCTTTGTGTATCAAAATGTTTTTCTTGAATATACTAATAGCTGTTCTGTGCTTCTATTGTAATTTCTTTGTACTGCAACTTGTTAGTAATTACTGCATTTGGGTTATAGTTTTTATGGGCTCTTAGATGTCACCTTAAAACTACTATTACTATGACTGTAGATCTTGATAACTCTGTTAGGGAGCATGTGTTTTTATTGATGGCAATGGCATATTTCAGGAGAAGAGGAGTATTCGACCTACATTTTCGGCTGAACATATTTACGGGGGAATTTTACTGGCAATGTGCTCAAATGACTTTATTTGCTTTTATGATTGGGCTGAATGTAGGTTGATTCGCCGAATTGATGTAACTGTTAAAGTGAGTCTCCCCTACCTATCTCAAATAGCCTGTAATTGGTATTTTCATTTTTCTATAATTCTATATTTTGCAACTTGGCAGAATCTCTATTGGGCTGATAGTGGTGATTTAGTGGCTGTTGCCAGTGATACATCATTCTACATCTTGAAATACAATGTAAGCATCTTCGCTAGTTGGGTTCTTCTTCCTTCCCCCGTTGTTTAGTTTTCATCATTCATATTTCATAAAATGGTTTGGTATAATGATTTGTGAGATTGCATATGATAATGGTGCAGCGGGACGTAGTCTCTTCTTACTTAGATAGCGGAACACCTGTAGATGAACAAGGTGTTGAAGATGCTTTTGAGCTTCTTCATGAAATGAATGAACGTGTCAGGACTGGTTTATGGGTTGGGGATTGTTTCATTTACAACAACTCCTCTTGGAGGCTTAATTACTGTGTTGGTGGCGAGGTAACCACAATGTTTCATTTAGACCGACCAATGTACTTGTTGGGTTATCTTGCCAATCAAAGTCGGGTGTTTCTAATAGACAAAGAGTTCAAGTGAGTGCACTTTTTTGTTTGTGAATCAAGACAGTCATCTATTAGCAACTTCTATTATGTTTTTTTGTTTGTTCTTATTAAATTTAAACTGTGCAGTGTAATGGGATACACACTACTTCTGAGTTTGATTGAATATAAGACTCTTGTAATGCGCGGAGACATTGAAAGGGCCAATGAAGTTTTGCCTTCAATTCCTAAAGAGCACCATAACAGGTACCTATTAGTTTCTTTGGCATAATGGCATCAGATGTCCCCTTATTACTGGGCAATATTGTATTTGTGGCATGAGAATATAACTGCATTTCAGTCAATAGGAAAACCACTGGTTTGATACAACTTACCATGAAAGTGTTCCAAATGGATCACATAGAAGTATTTCAAAATTGTTTATGTATTAAATCTTTATAGTTTTATAGTTTTTAATTTAAGCCCTTTATTTGTCACTCGGTACTTCTGATGCACAAATTTAGCCTCCAACCACTGAAATGAAATTAATAGTAATATCCTTTGCACACCCTGGAAAATTCGATACTTTGTACTAAATTACAATTTCAGTAGTATTTCTTTTTGTACGCTGATTATATTGTACTTGAATATTTTTTACTGTATAATAGAACTTCCATTGCAATCTTTTTACTTATTTCCAGATTTCAATCGCAAAGTTAAATCTCATATAGGATGCTTCGTTGTTACTATCTTAACACATTCTTTGGTGTTTCCCTTTTAACATTTAAACTTCCGGTTCTTGAAGTGTGGCTCGTTTCTTGGAATCACGAGGTATGATAGAGGAAGCACTTGAAGTGGCTACCGATCCTGATTACAGATTTGAACTAGCCATACAGCTTGGTAGATTAGAAATTGCGAAGGTAAGTCCAAGGAGACATAACTTTGATGTTAGGTTTTTATGTGTTGTAGTCGTTGAAGTGAATAATGTGGTTTATTTCCAAGTGAATTTTCATTTGTTTCTTGCAGGAAATTGCCACTGAGGTGCAAAGTGAGTCTAAATGGAAGCAGTTAGGTGAATTGGCTATGTCTGCTGGAAGCGTATGTTGGTTATTTATTCTTATTCTTTCTTAATATTGTGCATATTAATTTCTTAACCACAACCACATTCGTCTTGTGCCCTTTTGATATTTCTCCCTGTTTAACTTGCACCTTTTGACTACATCTCTTTGTCTATATTACATTTTGCAGTTAGACATGGCCGAGGAATGTTTAAAGTATGCCATGGACTTGAGTGGTTTATTATTGCTCTATTCTTCTCTTGGAGATGTTGAAGGAATATCAAAACTTGCATCCCTTGCTAAAGAACAAGGGAAGAATAATGTTGCATACCTTTGTTTATTCATGTTGGGTCGATTGGAAGAGTGCCTTGATTTACTGGTGGAAAGGTAATTGCTTATTTGTTTCCTCAAAGTATGACTACACAGAATAATGCTGTAAAGCTAATGATTAATAAAGCATTGTCCTCAAAGTATGACTACACAGAATAACGCGGTAAAGCTAATGATTAATAAAGCATTGTCTATGCAGCAATCGGATACCTGAGGCTGCTTTGATGGCTCGATCATATATTCCAGGCAAGGTTTCCGAGATAGTAGCTATTTGGAGAAAAGACCTGAGCAAGGTGACATTATGATTTTGCTTTGCTTGTCTAATTTTGACACTGCATGCTTATGTTTGCATTCCTTATTTTGGCTTCATGTGATGTTAAGAGAATTAGATATGGCAACTTGTATAGAAACCTCGCACCAGTTTATTGTTAGATACGATAGTTATGATGGGTAGGCTGTCCATTTGGCAGTCTCATATCACCTGTTAGAGATTTGACATATCAGAACCTCGCACCAGTTGTATAGAAACCTCGCACCAGTTTATTGTTAGATACGATAGTTATGCTGGGTAGGCTGTCCATATGGCAGTCTCATATCACCTGTTAGAGATTTAACATATCAGAACCTTGCACCAGTTTATTGTTAGATACAATAGGTATGCTGGGTTGGCTGTCCATATGGCAGTCTCAAATCACCTGTTAGAGATTTAACATATCAGAACCATGTTGGCATGCAACAGAACTTATTTTTCTTTTCTAACTATCTTGTTTTTCAGAATCCAGAAATTGCTACCGAAAATATATAGGAAACATTATCTTTTAATATTCTTTTTTTAGGAAATTTCAGGCGGCACTTCTACTTTTCAAAGTTGGAAAAGCTAACTTGACTCATTTTAAAACACATATCTACAAACTTTCATAAAAAAAAAGGTTATTATTTCCAGTTTTTCTACATCTCATGTTTCAAAAAACATCCCTGTGGATTAACTTCCTCCAGAGTTGGTTAACTTGGTTTGTTGCATCTTTTGGCTTGGACCAGTTTGTTATGTTTATCTTGCAGCTTTGTATGTTTGCATCTGTCCATTCACAGTACTCAGTCTTTCTATGTGATTTCTTATGTTCCATTTCCTTCGGTATTTTATGTTGTTTTAAATAACGGAGTCACACTGATCGGCAATGATTTCACCATACTTTATGCTGGTATGCTCAAGTATAATTCATTAGATGGGCTCCCATCTTCGCTACTCTGCTCAAACGGTAGAAAATACCATACATGTACACACACACTGAAGCGCTCATATGCATGTGCAGATGCATATTAATTACTTACATATGTAATTGGATTGGATGCATACATATGCGTCCACTTATGTGTCCTTGTCTAATAACATAACTTTGATTTACTATTAACCTGCAGGTTAATCCGAAAGCTGCTGAGTCTTTGGCTGATCCTGAAGAATATCCCAATTTGTTTGATGATTGGCAAGTTGCCCTTTCTGTTGAATCGAAAGCTGCAGAGACAAGGTACCTCTGCAAATTGTGTATGAGTGTGTTTGTATTTGTTGGCACAAGTTTCTCAATATCTTCTTCTGAAAATGTTCTCTTTTGGCTTCACGATATCTCCCTTAGGATGTCAGTTGCTCTTAGTGATGGTTTATTATAGTAACTTAAGCTGGTATTAATTGTTCTCGTGTGATTGATTTTAGGGGTGTTTACCCTCCCGCAGAGGAGTACGTAAACCATGTTGATAAAGCACACATCACCCTTGTGGAGGCTTTCAGGAATATGCAATCGGATGAAGAGCTTCTTGAAAATGGGGAAGCAAATCATGGGGTATACATAGTGGATGCAAATTTTATACCAGTTTGAATTTTCCCTTTGCAAAAACAATTTGTTTTATGAATCGGCTTTTTAACTCTAGCGCTTCATTTACCTTTTTGATCTGTTTTCTATACAGGTTTCTGAACAGGACAGTGAAGAAAATGGGGAACGGGCTGCTGAAGAACATGATGGAGAAGAAGGTAGCCAGGAGGAGGCTGTTGTGGTGGATGCTGATTCTACGGATGCTGTACTCATCAACGGGAGCGAGGCTGACGAAGAGTGGGGTACGAATAATGAAGGACCCTCGTCAGCCTAAAAAGCTATTGGTTGGGCCAGTGTGAAAATCCAATTTTGTCTCTGGTGATTAATTGATTCTGAAGCGCCATCTCTGACTCCCATTCTGACAACTTTATGCTTTCACTACTTCTACCACTTTCTCTACTAACAATTATTGGATATTATACGTACTTATAATCAATATTATAATTACAATATGTACTTGGGGGCCTCAGTTTATTCTAGTTACGGTGCCATTACAACCTTTTTTGTGTAGAAACTTGAAAGAAAAAGAAGTTTCCATTGTACTTGTTGGTTGGGAGGGTGGTGGTTATACAAGGAGAGAGACTAGGGAATCTGACATCCGAATTCTTTTCAAACCAAATACTCGATAGAATTCAGCGCTAAAGAGACAAATTGGATTTTGTGGCGCCTTTTCTTTGGTCATAAGTTCTCACGTGACTTGATATTCCTTTTGCTGCTTTGGCCTTCCCCTTGTTTGCCTGTGTTTTCTCTGTTCAGGTTGTTTTCTTGCATCCTAATTTTCTCATATTTTATTGTTTGCAGTGCTTACACCACACCACTAGGTCCTTATGAAGACTGCCGGTCCAGCTGTATGGATCCTTTACAGAGGTGAGAAAAGATTCATATATACTCGGGATATGCCATCAGATTTTTATAATAATCATAGTTTCCCTTCTATAAGGGATGGGCTGGTGTTATGGATGGGTTATGTTCGGCAAGTTGCAGATTAAATTTCTTCACATTTTTACCCAGTATTCAGGAGCCATTCACGGCACGCTGCTCTTTTCCATGCAATGTCAGCCATAAAACTGACGTGTTGTAGGAAAATTTAATTTATTAGTTTCACCGATCAAGTGTGTGAAGATTATTCGAATACACTTGTGCTGTGTGTTTCGTACGCATTCTTGTTTCTGATGCTAGGGTAAGAATTGAAACAGCTCCATTTTTATTTGAAATAACTTCGTAGCACCGACTTCATATGAAAAAGCTGTTGCGTTTTGTAATAATTGTCCCGATGTGTTTGCTCATTATGGTGATGTATTTTTTTCTATTTCCATTGTTTTGTTACCGACAGGCCTCTCGGAAGAGGCTGACGAAGAGGTGATGTAGCAGATCGGTTCTCTCTTGTACCCGGTGGCGTGGCTTGTAACCGAGTTATATTTTGTCATGGGGCACAAGATAAAATTAGTTTCATAGCTGTAGTTAGTTTACTTTTCCGATTCCCTTTTTTAACATATTCTTTGAGGCCATATTCCCATCATAAAGTTTTTCTTGTGCCATTGTGAATGTGGAAAAAATTGAGCTACGGATGGATACAACGTCGACCGCTTCCATTCAAATTTTAGATATCTGGTTCCCCCTTAAGACTTTTATTTTGTTTTATTTTTTTGCCCCCTTTTTGCATGTTTTCGGAATTCTTTCATGTGACTTGTATTGTAAAACAGTATTCATAAGAGTATATACATTGTTAGCATATGATACAACCAACTTCGGCTCCTCGCTTCTGTTAGCATTCTACTTGTAACATTGTTACGGTTCCTTGGGGGACATCAAATAAGACCGTAACGATGTTGGTATGTTCATTATTGTGAAGGGAAATGATTTATGCACCGTTTTTCTCATGCACGTCCTTTTTTATTTGTTGCTTCATCATCCTTTGATTTGTTTAATCCAAATGTCATAAATAAACAATGATGTGCATGAGGAAATGGTATCCCGCTAAATGCATTCATTCATTCGAGAAATGCCAGTGATCGTAGCATCTTGCTCTCCCAATGTTCACTTTCCTTGCAATAAATGGAATCTGTCTATAGGTGTGATAACTGGACTTTCGGTTCAAAGTGGGTGTTTTGTTTTTTGTTCTTTTTTTTTTTTTTGTTTGACAGATGATCGCGTTAATTAGATTGTTAGTTGTTAGGAGGAAGAGGATCGGTGGGAATCAAATTGCACTGTGGCGCGTAAGCACCAAGGTTGAAAGAGTGGTTGCTGTCAAGTGTTTGGTCTTTTGAGCCGACGCAGCCCAAAGAGTGTAACAGTGTATGTTAGCAATAACAATCCATCCCTTCATGTCTAAATTGAAAGTAGAAAGAATAATACTAGGGACCTTCAATGAAATTCCAAAGAGCTCTAGCTTTAGACCACTCCCTCGAAAGTTGAATAAAAATTTTAACAGGACCACCACATTTAGGACAACTGGTATTCACTGTCATTTTCCTCTTAAAACTAAGTTGATTGGTTAGAATTTTATTTTGAATGATCAACCAAGCAAAGACCTTTCACTTTTGGGGTATGAGCAGCTACTGAGATTTAGGGAAATATATCAAGGCAAATTATTATTATTATAAAATTTCAGCATAATATAGATGGATAATATTTGTACCATACTTGACCAATCCCGAAATTACTGAGTACCGGTCAACGTTATACTATTTAGGACCCAGAAGAGTTTCCCTCTAACCAGGAGGCCAATCACAGCGCGACACTTGTCGACATCAGAAGTCAATCATAGCGTGACATTTGTCAACATCAGAAGCTAATCACAACACGACACGTGTCAATGTCAGAATGAAACTAGAAACTATCTTCTATAAATAGAGATCATTCTCTCACAATATTTCCTAATGTCATTTGCACTAAATCATTCACTTGTACTCATAAAAGGAGAGCTTGAACCTATGTACTTGTGTAAACCCTTCACAATTAATGAGAACTTCTCTACTCCGTGGACGTAGCCAATCTGGGTGAACCACGTACATCTTGTGTTTGCTTCCCTGTCTCTATCCATTTATATACTTATCCACACTAGTGACCAGAGCAATCTAGCGAAGGTCACAAACTTAACACTGTACCAAAGTCCTCGCTGATTTTGTGCATCAACATTTGGCGCCATCTGTGGGAACGACACTTATTCCCACTCTCTTCAGCTTTGTCAAGCTAGTTTCCACCATTCGTACACTCTCTTTTGACTAGGCATCCTTCTCCAACATGGGGAGCAAAGGAAGCCACAACACACAGAATGACACCCCTCTTGCACTTAGTGTGAAGCAACGAAAGAAGGAAGGAAAAAGGGTTGCTCTTCAAGCTAAAGTCGATGAGCTAGGAGCTCAGAACAACAAGATAGCAATGAAGAATGAGGTCCTCCAGGAGCAGTATGAGAAGCTCTTTGAGACGCTCCACGAAACTAGGCGTACTCAAACATGCGAGCTCGTTGCCCCTGTGGATATCAACCATCATCTGGGTGCCCTCCAACACGGAGGGTCACCTTCCTTCGACATGGGTATCCCTGATGAGGAGCGAGCTAATCATCAAAACATTGATCAACGTGAGACTTCTCTCAACCCAGCTATTTCGACCCGAAGCAGGAGAAGTGGAGGAAGACACCTCCTTGCAGAAGGGTTGGAAGGATCGAAAGTCGTTTATCATGACTGCCAAGACTTCCTAAAGCAACGTCGAGAGAATCCCCTCCACATATGCTCGAAGATTAATGACCCAAGGCTTTCTGAAAGACTCGGTCTCCTCCCACGACCTAGGCCAGTTGCCAATCTAGGGAAGGAACGACAGGTCCCAGAGGAACATAAAGGTACAGGGGACTCTGAGGTATTCCGACAGACTCGCCCTAGAAGTCAGTACGGCGAGTCCAAGGAAAAATCACAAGCCCTTGCTTAAACTTTCCTACTTCCAAGAGGTGATGGAGACTTACGAAAGAAAATCCCAGTGGTACATGACTCCACTTAGGATCCCCTTGTCCTACGACTCTTTGAGGAAGTAAACAAGTTGAAGGCCGAACTTCAAGTCGAGATACCTGATTGGAACCAACCCAGGCCTGACCCTCTCACAAGAAGGATCCTTGACACCCCCCTTCAAGCAAAGACAAAACAAAAGCTTGGTTTACAACTCTATACTGAAAGGGAAGACCCAATTGAACACTTTAACCTCTTTGAGTCCATCATGGCATATCAGATGCACACCAACGAAGAGCGATGTCTTCTCTTCCCCTCCATCCTCTCTAGCGGAGCTCTAAACTGGTATTGCCGTCTTCCACCTGAGACAATAGACTCATTTGAGGAACTGAGGAATCTGTTTATCTCTCAACACATCTTCCAGACCGATCGCTTGCATTCTGCAGATGACTTGTACACTATTCGCTAGAAGCCAGATGAGTCACTACGAGAGTATGACGGTCGTTTCAGCAATGAGTATTCTCGCTGCGCTGAGGCAGATGACAAGACCGCCCTCAAGGCCTTCACGGCAGGCCTACATGATTGTTTCTTCAAGTACATGATCAATGCCAACACTTGGAAGACTTACTCTGAGGTGATAGCACAGGCTTACAACCATGCCTCCGTCGAGGTAAGGACATATCAAGGGAAACCCCCCACAGCCACCCCTTATCAACAAGTAGGGAATGGAAGCTAGATCCAACCAAATGAGAAAACCTCGACCTTCCAAACGGCAGCGATGCCTCCCCTTGCCTTACTTAATACTTTGCCAAGTCAACAGACATATCAATCTCAGGGCAAAAGGAAAGATTTTCATCCTCACCAGTCTCATTTTAGTAAAAGGAGTAAGGGACGCTACTGCGATAACCAAGAGTATCGCCATGATAATCCTCGACCTCAGGCAGTCAACATAGTAGGTCAAGCTCGTGTCAGGACAGCCCCTACCCCAAGGTATGAGGCATACACACCTTTAAATGCCACATGCGTGGCCATTTACCCCAGCATAGCACACCTGATACCGAAGCCAAAGCCAATGCACCCGGATTACAAGCCCACGAAGAACACAAGCACGTTTTGCTGCTACCACGAGCATAACGGCCATGACGGTGAGAAGTGTATCACCATTCGTGATCATATTGAAGCTTTGGTACGTGAAGGAAAATTTGATCAATTCCTCATTTACCCTCCAAGGGGTAACCGTAACCAACGCCAGGTGAATGTGATATATTCCATAAGTGGTGGCACACCCATATCTAAATCTTCCAACAGGGCCATGAAAAATAGCGAACGAGCTTTAAGGTCTGGCCACCAAGTGTTTCACGTGGAAGATATCAGGAGGGGTAAACATCAAAAGCCTAATTGGGATCCAATATGTTTTTACCCTGAGGAAGAAAGAGGTATCATCTACCCTCACAACGACCCACTGATCGTGGAAGCTCACATAGCCAACTTTGAAGTACGACGAATCCTGGTAGACACGGGAGCTTCGGTCAATATCATGTTTGCTGAAGCTTTTAGGGCACTTAATGTAGCTGAACACTTGCTTGATCGCTCGATTTCCCCTCTGATAAGCTTCTCCGGTGATATCGTGCAACCTTTCGGGAGCATACACTTACCTTTCACCATTGGTACAAGCCCTTACACAGCTACCATTACCACTAACTTCTTGGTGGTTGATTGCCCAACGGCATACAATGTCATCTTTGGACGCATAGGCATCAATGATCTCAAAGCCATGGTATTCACACATATGTTGTTGATGAAATTTCCAACCCCCTATGGCAATGGTTACATCAGATGAGATCAACTTAGTGCACGATCATGTTACAAAACTTCGGTCAAGCAACACCACCTGCTTGTGCCCAAGGAAACCTTTTCTATACATGACCAAGTCATAAAGACCAGCCCAGACGAAGCCAACTTGGATCTTCACGGTGGCAACAATCAACCCGACGATCCTCGAGATGACTCTTTCACCTAGCAAGCACAACTCGCTGAAGAGTTGGAGAAGGTCTCTATCTCAAAAGATTATTCGGATCATATGGTAAAGATTGGCACCACCTTGTCACCACCCATTCGGTTGGCATTGATCGTTTTTTGCAAAAGAACACTGAGGTCTTCGCCTGGTCATACGAGGACATGCCAGGCATCTCTCTTGATATCATCTGTCATCGCTTAAATATTGACCCCAAGACCAAGCCAGTGGGACAGAAGCGAAGATCTTATGACGCTGAACGGTACAAGGCAATGAAAGTAGAAGTTGAAAAACTCAAAGGCATAGGCTTCGTCCGCGAAGTTAATTATCCAACGTGGGTAGCAAATGTTGTCCTTG